TTGTCCGGGAAATAACTATGAAACCATAAGAGGTATCAACAAGTTCCCATCGAGTAGAAGTGTGTTGCAAAAGAACCATAACTCTTTCTTGCCTAATTTTGATGTTACTGCCCTTGTTCATTTTAACACTTTGAACTTTGTCCGATACATAACTCTGCAACTTAAAGATATATATCAACAAGAAATTTTATAGGTAGATAGATCTCCTTAAGTTGATGAACAGTGCAAAATAACCATAAATCTGCCTTGCCTAATTTTGGAGTTATTGCCCTTTGTTCATTTTTACACTCTGATCTTTGTCCGGGACAAAATTCTGAAACCATCAGAGGTATCAACAAGATCTCATTGAGTAGAAGTCGATGCAAAAGAGCCGTAACACTGCCTTGCCTAATTTTGGAGTTATTGCTCTTTGTTTATTGTAACACTTTGAACTGTGTCAGTATATAACTCTGAAACTAAGATATATCAACAAGAAATTTTATAGGTAGATAGATCTCCTTGGGTTGATGTGCAGTGCAAAAGAACCATAACTCTGCCTTACCTTATTTTGGAGTTATTGCCCTTTGTTCATTTTAACACTGATCTTTGTCTCTTATACTTTAAGAGATATCAACAAGAAACTTTGTAGGTATATATATCTCATATGGTTTATGTGAAGTGCAAAAGAGCCGTAACTTTGCCTTTTCTAATTTTGGAATTATTGTCCTTTGTTTATGTTTACACTTCGAACTTTGTCCGGGACATAACTCTGAAACAACAAGAGGTATCAACAAGAAACTGTATGTAGATATATCTCATTGATAGGATGTGCTTTGCAATGAAACGTAACTCTGTCTTGCCTAATTTTGGAGTTATTTACATTTGTTCATTTTCACACTGTGAACTTTGTACGGGACATAGCTCTGAAACTGTGAAACTACAAGAGATATCAACAAGAAGTAGTTTCTCTGTTCGGGGAGCATCACCTGGTTCAACCTGCTTTTTTATTTTTAATGTGTACCCCATGCCCCCCTTGATCCTATGCCCCCATTGAACGGAGGTTCAAAGGGGACATAGGGTCATAAATATATAGTTTTTTCCTATCTGAATCAAGTGAAAAATACTCTACTGCTATAAATCAATACAGTTTTCAAATCCTCAATGGAAGTGTACCGAGTTTAATGGGTTAACAGCAATTTTCGGACAAGAAACGATGTACTATGCAAATAACACAGTTGTAAAATTAACTGTAGTACACGCCTTTAAGAAAACAACATAACATTTTTCCCTCATTCAGGAATTATGCTCAGACGATAGGGATCTCAAACTATACTCATTCGATAGTTGCATGAATTGTAACTGGGCAATTGTTAAGAAACATTTCATTTATATTATGTTTTGTTAAACTGTCAAAAGAGGAATCAACAGACATCTTTTACGCTAATGATCTCAAGAATTTTGAATCAAATTATAAATTGTTTAGTTTATAGGTGTATATTTGTGTATCCTAATAATTTAGAAATATTTGGAAAAAAATGAATGAAAATAATTAATGTTTGTTTCAAAATGTATTGTTTTAAAGTTCAAAACATAGGCTTTTTTCATAAGAACCATCCTAAAACTTCGCCTTCAGTTCTCTTTATCTTTCTTATAAAAGATGACATCATCATAAATATAGATTATCATTGGTACATAATGCTCTCTTGTGTTTGCTGATATATCAATAATTATTGCTTCCTCGTGTATTAAAAGCACTTTCATTTACGAAGCAATAAAATACTACTCTGTTACCTTACTGACCAAATTTTTGGTTACCTTCTTGTGTCTAGTAACATCACAGTACAATTCATGCTACATTTTTAACAAAGTATTTATAAACGACAAGTAAATCAGAAGAAGTACATATATAATGGTATTTTTGCCTTGTATGTTCTACGTAAACTATATATGAATGATTATTTCCTGTAGTGTATTCATTTAACATTTTGATTCTGTGCGTGTAATTGAAAAAAAATGAAGAAAGAGTGATCCTCAGAAGCAATAATCAGAACCAGATAACATGATAATTTCAGACTCGGTTTGATTGAGCCTGTACATGAAGGATAATGAAACCGTGGAACATCCCTCACACCAACTACGAGAGATGCATCTGCTTTTGATAAAGATCAAAATACTTAAATTATAGAAAATTCAAGAAACAAATAATTGATAATAAAATGCAAACATCAAATGCTGTAGTTTATTTATTTTTTTTTTTTTTGGGGGGGGGGGTTGTTACAGTTAAGAAAATATGTTATTTCTCTTTGAAATAATACCTTAAAACATGTTATACAACTGTGTTTTATGAATAATTAAAACATCAAATACAGAGAAAAAGTGTTATACACCCCGAGTTAAAATTAATCGGTGTCAATTTATGAAATATTCTCGTTGCTCCGACTAACCACTATTTGGATGTTTTGTATGTATTATTCACATAAATGTCATTTTTATACAACAGGTTCATGAAAATGTTCATGTCTAAATCCCATCTCTTTGTTGCCTCATTACAGACGCACACTGGATTATAATTCGGGACAATCCATGGTATTTATAGAATGACACGACAGTGTGCAAGTGAAAATTCAATAATAACCTTATAAACACATTAACCGCTTATTTCTTTCTTATTTCAAACATCATTTTCGCATGTTTAATGTTGATCATGCTATAGCCGGGGATAGGGTGGATGCATTGCAATGGTTTTCAATTTGCTACCATAAAATTTATGTTAACAATGAATTCGTAGTTGTTATAAAATTATAATGATCGTAAACCTAATTTTATTTAACGACAATAGCAGATCATTGAAGAATCTGATAACATTAACAAACTTCAAAGATAAAAAAAATAGAACAATGACTGAAAGAAGAACCCAGTCAATAAATATTCCATTACACAAAATCGAATCATATACGATCGTTTACGTGTAAATTTATATAAATTAACATTTTTTTATTTAAACGTAACCTTTTATTCTTTTAATACAATGAATTCAGTAACTTATTGTCTATTTAAATGCACTGAATACGTGCTTTCAAATAAATATCTATGCAGTATTCATGTTGTGAATCTTTTGACACGAATTTGAAGTAGAATAAAATAAGTTTAGCTTAGCTTAGATATGAAAGAAAAACGAGAAAAAATGATTTTATTTTAGATAAATATTACTCTTGTGCGTGCCTTAACTCCCATTTCAGCAATGTTGCCTGGCTTTTTATAGCACTGCTTCCTGTTTCATAGCGGAGAGCCTACACGTTAAATATCAGAAATAATAAAGTCTATGTACAATTGGAAGGAAACTGCGGTGAATTAAACGGTAAGAACAGTAAGTGTGTTAGGTGTAACAAGTGCGAAGGGTTAACACAAATTGTTGGGTTCAATTATTGATCATGTAGGTCTTACAAATATTCGCTTAAATTATGACTATTGTGTTAATTATTCAAAATTATTATAAAAGCAGGATTCGAGATAAGTTTAATCAAAATTGGAATAATACAATCAATACTTTGCCGAAATTACACTATTACTGTAAATTTAAACATTTTTTTTAATTTGATGATTATTAATTGTAATAAACGATGTGGCTACAAGAAAATCTCTTCTCGCTTTAGACTTTATTCGAATAATTTTGGGAATTAAAAACAAAAAAGATTTATGTGAAGATGAAGAGTGTTTTAAATGAAAATTATTTTTTAAAAATTTTCTTAATCTAAAAAACCTTTTTTTGAAAATTTTTGCAGTAAATATTTTTGTTTTGGAAAAAAAACTTATGAAATATTATGGTCAACTGTACATAAATTTATCAGCTTATATCAACAAAAAGAAAACTAAACTTTTCAATATAGCGAAATTTATTGATGAGTCCATTTAATGTAGAAACAATTATTTGTTTTTTCTTACAGATTCTTAACGAATAATTAAATGTTTATCTCTTAAGTGTGAAATTGATGTTTTTTTTCTGTACATTTGTTGCATTGTATACGTTTAAAAATGTAAACCTGTTTATAGTTATATTGATGATAAATGTATTTGCCATATATTATATATGTGTAAATGGCCGGATACAATGTTCATTTCGATTTGGCAATAGACTCGAAACTTGAAACTTAATATAGATGTTTTAAATATATTTCTCATTGCTCATAAAATAAGAGCTTAGTAATACATAGTATTACAATTTAAACTCATTAAATATAAAGAAAAGAATGTTAATTTTTGCTCATTAAAGTTAGGTAATATCTCTAAAAACATCGAATCTTCGGAGGGCCTCTATGAAAGGTTCTAATTAATCTAATAGGTTTGAATGCATCTCCATTTATTCTTTCAAAACCAGTTACCATTATTATTTTTTTGTTATGATTTCAAGTTCTTTTTTAAGTATTATAATACTACTTTTCCAACAACAACACGTGCATTTTATATATGATACATTACAAAGGTTTTAAGTATATATCTGTGGGATGTGATCTCATGGGAGACTATAATTTGTTCACGACTTATCGATTCTTTCCTCTACGTCGTCATTTAGCAAAATGCTGATAACAATAATCCCAGAAGGCGCGGCATCACTCGACGAGAAAAATGTATTCATGTTTAAGAAGCACCTTCATACAAATCAACACATAGAATAAATGGTTAAATAAACAGTTTACACAATGTATTAAATTTATGTAATTGTTTATGTTATTCATATAATTAAAACACATGTTTCCCGTCAGGAATTAACACATGAACTAGGAATTGAAATGTATAACAATAAAGGGATTGTATGCATATATAATGAAATATATATATAATTATATTAATATTAATTTTACACGAAGTGGATAATTTGTTTATTAGTTAACATGTGATCTGTTTTATAAAACAAGTGTACTTTTTGTAGGAAAAGGGTATCATTTAAATAATCTACGGATATTGTTTATTATTATACGAAAAATAGGATGTCGTTAAAGGATAACATCTAACATGTTGGTTGAAATAATTAAATCAGTGACATTTAACTTCTATAATAATTGTGTTTTAAAAAGTACAAAATGATGTTGTTAGTTTCAAAAGAATGCATTTGTACAAAACACGTGGATTAAAAAGCAACAACAATATTTCGTTGGTGTCATAAATTAGGAAACATATAATAAAAATCTTAAAAATATTTTTAGAATATTATACTTTTATTACATGGCACAATGTCTTTTATCAATGAATCGTCAAATGACGTCCTGAAATCAAATGGGACGAATTCTTCGTTTTATTTCAAGAATGATGAACTCACAAGTGCACGCACGGATGTTACTGTACCCAGTTTAGTGATACTTATCATTGCCACTCTTGTAGGGACCTTCGGAAACATTCTTATACTTTTAAGTGTGTTCACACGTAAGAATTTAAGAAAAGTTGAAGGAATATTTATAGTTAATTTAGCTATGTCAGACCTATATGTAACGGCGGTGGCAGATCCAATGAGTATTATAGGTATGTAAAATATATTTATTGCTTTCATTTCTCCGAAACGAATTTCAAAATATAGCTTGAACAGATTTCAAAATTATATTTTAATTTTAAAAGGACGTCCTGGAAATGCGAGAATTTCTTAAAATTGTATCTATATTTCTTGAAGAAAAAAATAAATAAATAAAAAATAAAGAAGCTGTTTTTTGTTCTAAACGTCATTAATTATTTCCAGTATATTGTTTTATTTTTATTTAATTTTTATTTCTTTATTTTTTATTGGGGTCTTAATGTTTATTTATATATCCTATCAAATTAAAAAGCTGAAATCTAAAATGAAAACGGTGAATGCCATGTGTTAAATATAGTTGAATCATAGTTTGGGGACCTTTCTGTTGAAAATGTGTCAGAGTTAATTCGTATACATACATGCACAGTGCGTTAACTGGAGTGCAGGTATTAGTTATCCGTACTTCAGAGCATGCACACTGATTGGATTATTTTTGCTGGGGTTTACTTATTGTGACGACAGAAAAAAAGGAAAGCGTCAAAATATCGTATTCAGATGCTCGTTTATTGGTTACTTTTTCTGGGGTTTCATATTGTGACAACAGGGAACTTGTTTTTATGTTTGACTATGATACAAAAGAGAAAGAACATCAAAACACTCGGCAATCTGATCAATACTCGGGGGGGGGGGGGGGGGGGCTATACCCCCTCGTACAACTCAGTTACCCTCGTGTTTCGATGCTCTTTCTATTACTTGTATCATAGTTTGGAGACCTGTCTATTAAAGGCGTGTGTGAATTAAATGTTACACCAATACATGCATATAGCGTTAACTGGATTGCAGGTATTAGTTACTCCACTCTAGTAACCGCACTGTCTGTCAGTTGTCAACTAATGGTTGCCTACATTGTTTTTAGGGTTAACTTATTGTAACGACAGTGAAAGGGAACATTATATTCAGATGTTCATACATTGGTTACATTTGTGACGACAGGGAAAGTTGTTTTTTGCTTTTGCTATGATACAAAAGAGAGGAAACATCAAAACACTCGGCAATGTGATTAGTAATCGGGTCCTACGTCGCCCTCGAACAAATCAGATAGCCACGTGTATATATCGATGCTCTTTCTCGTATTATAACTACAAAATTTATAAAAACATGTTTTAGAAAATATCATGAGCTACATTTAATTTATTATAAAAAAAATCTGGTAAACGAAATAAAGTGTGTCAAAGTGGTCATAGGGAAGTAAAACAACTTCAAAATGCAAAACAGATTATTGAGAATAAGTGTAAACTTTTAAATAATAATGTTTTATGGACTTTTTTCAAAAAGAGAATCCACTAAATTAATACCATTAATAACAATTAATCATTAACATAAACAACGTTGATTCAATCAACATATCATAATGAATAGTGTTTTATTCTTTGAAATTGAATTTGTTGTCACTGAAACCGGGTATCATATAGCTTGGAACCGGGTAACATATAGTTTATCACATTATTGTAGGTTATTACTCTTTAATCGGTCATATCTTTGTTAACCTAATTACATAGCATTTATTCATGAGGATACAATCCTTTTTATTTCAGCAAAACTTGAAGGTGAAGAATTTTTTGACGGAATTCCTGGACTTTGTCAAACAGTTGCGAGTATCTGCACGATTTCATGTGTGACGTCACTGATGACGATCGCTGCAATGAGCTTTAACCGTTACGTTTTTATATGTCTGCATGATAAATATGATCGAATCTTCAAGAAATGGAATACAGTTTGTATCTGTATATCGTTCTATTTTATTGGCGGAATCCTTGTGTTGCTTAACTTTGCTGACATTGGCGATCACGGATTTGACAAGAAGAGTTTAGAGTGCATCTGGGATAGAATGGCAACTTACCCTTATACGATATTTTTCTCAATAACTTTAGTTTGGATTCCTTCAGTTGTGACTGGATTTTGCTACGTCAAAATATTTCTTTATGTAAGGAGCCACAAGAAACGAGTTCGTGAACAAAGTCATGCTATTACTACAAGACAATTCAAGAGAAATTTTCATCTGGCAAGGACATTGTTTATCATTTATGCTGTATTTATAACATGCTGGGCACCGTATGCTCTTTTGATAGTAATTGATTCTAAAGACACATTTCCGCATGAAGTTCACTTGTATATAACAATGTTTGCTCATCTACACCCATCATTAAATTGGTTGATTTACCTTATTTCAAACAAAAAGTTTGCCGATGCCTACAAAAATTTACTTAACCAATGCGGAATTTGTTATTTCAATATTGTGGAAAAAAATGGTAGTCAAATTCCAGCTGCACAAACATCAACAGTGAAACAAGGTGACCATGCAAAATTCAGGGGAAAAACATCCGAAAATGACACTTGCTCAAAATATCCTCCAATATCCTTTCTTTTTGATTACAAATCAGCTCGTCAGCAAGGATGTAATAGAAGATTTTAAACATAGGTCTAAATCACACCGGAATCCAATTGCTAAATTTTAAATAAAACTTAATTGTTTTACTATTAAAAAAATCCTGATAACATTCAATTTATCTACAACTTTGCAATTAAATCCATATAAGTTTATTTTTTTTTAATCTTAAAAAGAATAAAAAAAAGTTTTTTTCAAAATATTTTTTCTATTTAGTTCCAATCCTTTTACTGAAATTTCAATTAAAGAGCATTTCTTTATTCTCATTTATTCAAGACATAAATATTGATTTAACTAAGGATTAATAATTATGTGAAAGAAAAGATAAATAGTAAAAAACTACCAGAAACATACATTTTGTATTTATCATAAATTAATTAAAGGAATATTTTCCCTCAGAAATGCTCTCAATTTTTATATCGCAAAAGCTTTTTATTTTTGTTATCTTGTTTCAGTTTCTAAAAATACTCATTTGCCATATAAATAATTTATCTTTGTTTCTTTTTAGAACTAATATAGTGAATGAGTATTTTGTATGGAAGTCGAAATACGACTTCGTTTACATTTTGCTAACTTTACGGCATATAACTGCATATACAACGCTACTTTCTTCATCTGTTAAAAAACATCTAGCATGCTCTAAATCAATTATTGAAACATTATTGAACACAATCATGTTTGACATTTCAAAAAAAATAATACATATGTATTTCTGAGACATAATGTGCCTTAAAGAAAAATATCTATTCCGTCAGAATTTATTCTTGTTTTCTTCTTCTTTTTTTGTAAATTTTGTCATTTTTAAAGAGACATCAAATCTATGGACTAAGCTGTGTTATTTGAATAAATCTACCTTTGGCAATGTTTCGTTGTCCTTTGTAACATAAACTAACATAATTGTTTTTGTTTGAAACGTCCAAGAAGTCTAACAAGTTGGTGGCTGTACGAACGAAACACATATTATTAAATATAATCGATCGATACAACTTTTTATATCCAGCGTTTTATTAAAGAGTTTACAAAAAGTATTTGAGAACAGTTTACAAAATGTAAACATACAAAAAATGACCTCTAGATCACCCTAATCTATAAACTTTAAAGTTACATTAAATAAATATGTAAAAAAATAGTGAAAAAATAGCACAATAATTTTATAATGTAGCTGTATTAAGAACTGCCATTATGTCAGGTCATATATGTCAGTTTACATTAATGCAAGACTCATTTTGTATACCTATCGATTCTATAATATCTATCTATAATTATCCTCGTATTGTATTTCTCTCATCAGGCAGATCCTATATTCCGACAATGATATTATAAATTACCAATTATAAAACGGTCTTTATCTTCGTGCACTCACGAATACTGTCCACATAGAATAATTAAGTGCGCATATTCCCATGTATATAAAAGAAATTGTCAATTAAGGAACTTAATTCTACATTATCTAAAATCATTTACCTCCCTTAAGAGACCTTTTTACAACGCGGTCCGCTGCTATGAAAAATTGACCGGATATAGTATTTTCTCGAGCATGAACAATCTGCAAAGGGCAAAAGATCATCGGCCTGAACAGAAGTGTCAATTTTCAGTTAGTTGATACTATAAAAATATATTAAATAGTTTTTAACAAAAAAAGCAAACGATGCCTTAAAAGGTTTGTGGCCAAGATTGCCGGAAAAAATATGGAAAAGGGATCTTTAAGACCAAGTCAGACCTGAAAAGCATTATGTTTTTTTAAATGGGGAAATACATCTATTATCAAGTCATTTTTCTTGAAATATTCATTTATAAAAAAAGAGATTTATGAAAGATATGAAACCGAAGTTAATTATCATTCTAGAAAGGTCAGAAAATGTGAAAATGCCTTATCAGGGTCTTTAAATTAGTTTTATTTAATAGACACTTGCCTGATTTAATCTTTTATCTGATTTGTCTGTGATGCCAAAGAGTCAAATCAATATGTATAAGAAACTTTACAAAATCTTGAGAACTTAAGAACATTTCCCAGATGATAAGCTAAATAACACACATTTTTATCCAGTTTATTTTAACCTAGGTAAATGCATCCCACACTATTTTGTCACTTTACACAATTCATTCCAAACAGTGATAAAATAGGTATTTGTAAAAATTTGTAAAAAAAATATCTAAATTACGATCGTGATAAAGAATGTCATACTACTAAACAGTCCCGGTTGACTAACTAAAAAAATGTGTCCATCTGTTTCACGTTTACCACCTTGACAATCCACATAATCAGAGGAGGTCAACAGTACCAATTGCATTATATTACGTTATACACGGGTAATATAATTTTATATTTAACATCCTGCTTTTAAAATTACTGATGAAAAAATCGTCTACTAATACTCTGAAGAGAGGGCCTTTGTATGTACTTTTGAATCATTAAATTACTAAGTCACGCAACATTTTTATAAATATCAAATCACATTTGACATACTTACCGCTCTAAGTCATGCCAAAATTACTGTTTACCGGATGACATAACTTGAAATCGCGTTTATGATATGGAAAAAGATAAAAAAATAATCTAAATTCGCATTGACGAGATATAATTTAGGAGTTAGTGGTTTAATAACTTCATACACCTTTACCGAGTATTTTATTACAAGAGATGGTAAATTTCTTATACTTGTATACGAAAGTTGTTATGTCAGAATCGAATGCAGTATTCTGGGTCTTACTTAAATTCAACATTGCATCGGTTATTTATCAAAATAAACTACATGTTCGTATTCTAAACAATATCGGCCCTTATCGAATGATCGTGTTGGCTCCATCACTTGTGTCAGGCCAGCATCTTGTTATGGCTCGATCACATTTGAATAAAAGATAGTATTTTATTTTTAACAAAGCTATTTGATCTTTTTTTGTGTTGAGCCAAATAGGAGGTTGGAAAAATGTTATATGCGCGATTAAGTGAATACATATTAACTTATGGTAGAAATATCACTCGATACGTGTATTCTCGTGAACTAAAACACACAAGTTGATATTTTGTAAAAGTTCTAGCAATGACATTTTGGGATGTTTCGTATTTCGTATTTAAATGCATCATTTAAACAGATCACCAAAATGTGAAAGAGACACTGTTTAGTAGAGGTGGTATAAGGCACAGTATACATTGAAACATAATGACATCTAGTTCATTGATTTTATATTTCCCTGACACAATCAACGCAATCAACCTCTGATGAACCGATTATCTCAATAAGTAAACAATAAAATATCATGTCAATTATTTTATTTTGCCAGTAAGTGAAGTTCTTAAGAGAACGAGGAGATATGCGAGTTTTAATGATGATTGTCTCAGTACGTTGGGAACCATATTGGTTTACTTCACATTTTAATGTATGTATGATGAAAACAAATTGGATTTTTGTTACACGTAAGCCGCCTCAACGTAATAAAATTGTAAAACCTTAATGCTACAAGATTGTTTGATCATACAACGTTCCGTGACAATTAGGATAAAGATATATATGAGACAAACTAAGACATAGGAGATTATGATCTTTTAGTCGCAAGTTTATTGAACTTGTGTTAATAATACAGTTAAAATACGTTACATGAAATACTACCGAAATGTGAACACATTCTTGTGAAATTTGAATTTGCGTAGAAAAAAAAACGAAATGAAATAATTTGCGAAAAGAAATAAATAAACGATTGTTATATTGTGAGATATGTCAAGTGTTATCAATAATATATCTGACATGTAACAATATTGTTTACAAAATTGTCGTCTAATTAATTCAGAGAAGCTTCTAAATGCCTGAACACAGTTCATTCTTGGTGATTAACGCCTTTTTAGAAGAAAAAAAGTATTTCTCTTAAACAATCCCATTTTGCAGTTTGAATATGATAAAGAAAGGTCTATTATGCCTATACATTTACGAATATATATTTAATTATAATAATGAGATTGATAACATTTAATTAACGAATTTCGAGTATGTTCGATGTTTATTACTTGATGAAAGAAGCACCGAATATGAAATAAATTGTTAACACAAAAGTACTATTCAAATTTTCATACAGAATACTAAATCACTTTAAGTGTTATATTACTAGAAAGCTACAGAACCAAAATATAATTCATGAGTCGGAAACTAAAAAAGGACACCAAAGCTTTTAGAAATAAAAAAAACTTTTCAGGGGAATAATGGACCTTTAAAAATCAATACTTTTGTTTTTTCATATAATTTAAAATAAACTGATGTGTATCATGAGAAGGAAATTCTCAGTATTTACATACTCCAACAGCACGAGTCATTCACGCAAAATATTCCGTATTAAATTAAACGAATCTTTGTTACATTCGTTGTTCCCATTAAACTTAAGAAACTGACAAATCTGTTAAATACATGTAAAAAGCTCTGACGTCTTTGAGATTATAAAGTCTGCTTAAAAACAGATAGAAATCTAGGACATTCTGATACTTTTAAAGAGATATGAATTATTTATGAACGAGATCTGCGAACTAGAAAATATACTTCTTGTATATCAGACAGGATTATTTCATGGCGTCTCAACGCCGTGATATTGTGATGGGTAGTTTTCGGTAGCATGGGCAAAAGTCACGTGACAAAATTCCTTTCAATTTCTACAGCCGACATTTTATTGGCTTTTTACGCAATCATTGTACAGCCCATGTCCGTGAAAAGTTACATAGAAACATTTTCCTTTCAAATCATATACATTTGTAGAATCTAAACAGTATTTTTATCAACACGCGAAATATCAGCGTGATACATTTACACAATTCCGCACATCCTTTCGACACACTTGAGAAATTCGAAAACTAAAACCCGGATTTCGAATATCGTTGTGGTCTACATTGATGCCGTACATTTATATTTTTTCAAAATTTCCCTACAAGAAGAAAGTTAACCTGCCAATTAGTATAAGGATAGGTAATTGACTGTTATAAACGATTATCCTATTAATTTCATATATTACGTTCATCTGTTGCACAGAATGGTTGTTTTTACAAGGTGTACCAGTATCCGGATGTTAAAAGCTATCCGATTTTCTGCAAAAACTGCTGTCACATGAGCATCTATTTTTTAATGAATACTTTAACTATGAATTTGCATGGCTTAATAAAACTGAGCCTGCCTCATTTCTTAATTTTGATGTCTGGGGTGTTCTTTTGGGTTTCAGGTTTTCTCTATTTTAAGGGGAAGTAACTCATGTTTACTAAATTATTTGTTCTTTTCTGTCCATCTTAGGTTTGAAGTTAGGTATTACTTACTATTTTTGTTTAATAAAATTTACCAGAAGTAAGGTTATCAAAAGCATAGAGGCCACCTGTACGAAATGTTACGCCCAGAAAGTTAAAATTCCTTTAAAATTTTTAGTATATGATAAGGGTCCCTTTTACGGGCGGATTCTGGGCGGAAATCGCACGGAATTTGGCACGAAATATGTAAATGAGCTGGAAAAAATTCCGTGCGGAATTTTGAACGGAATTTTAGGCACGGAACTCTTGGCAAGGATTCTGGGTGGAAATGGCACGTAATTTGGCACGAAATATGTAAATGAGCAGGAAAAATGTCCGTGCGGAAAACTGGCACGGAATCTGGGCACGGAATCTTAGCACGGAATTTTGGCATGGAATTTTGGCATGGAATAATCAGAGCAAAATTCAATAAACAGTTGTATTTTTATTATATTTAATTTAATTAATGATGACCATTTTGTCATGTACTTTGGACCATTGATAATTAAATAACTGGCTAAACAATTGTATTTAGACTATCTTAATAAAAGATATATATAAATATAGTTTATATGTAATAATTAATTCAATATTCATGTAGTAAACTTATCTATAAGCTTATGAGTAAAAATACATGTATGTTTATATGATTATTCTCTTAAAATCACAATTTTAATCAGATCTAATTGTATTTCAATAATCCAAGTTAAGATATGAAAAATTATCACAGTTTGTTTTTCTTCACAAATAAAAGATATCCTTTTTGTCTAGATACAGAATACATCCTACATAAACTTCAAGTGTCACAAACAGCTTTTTTATTGTGCAATAGTATCTGTACATGACTTTTGTAAGTACTGCTGCTTTCTTTGATCACATTGATTTCAACTATTATGTTGTCTGTCACAAACCAAAACTTTCTTTCAAACTGATTATCAAAACCACAATTTTTCCTCATAATGTCAGCTAACGTCCTGTGCAAATGTTTCCTAGTGGCACATCTTGTGGTTGCGTTCACCTTTAAGGACAAAAATTACAATTGATTTAAAAAGAATGGAAACAAATTCTGTTCTATGGTAAAATACAATTGTGTTCCATTATAATATTTCATCTGGGGTGTTAAAACACTGTACTCAAGCAAATGCAGTTTCAAAAATACTATAGCAACATCATTTCACAGTAAGCAAATGATGTAAAAAAATTGCCCATTATGAGTACTTTAGTAATTACACTTTTGATGTCAAAATTGATAATCTTTACATTATCTGGGAAACAATTGTACTCTAAGAATGGTTTGTTCAGATATTAAAAAATACATGTAATTACCTTTTCAGACTCCAAGGTAGTGAAATATTGCTGATACTATAAACACTAAGTTGGCAAATTTTCACAGTCTGCAATGGCCCAGTCTGCAATTCCCATAATTTAAATTGTATGTATATTATAACATGTGAGATCTAATAGAAATTTAGCACTGTAAAACATAAGCTCAGAGGCCAGTCTATGGACCATGACCTTTAAACAAATAATTTTGATAATACATCTAGATTTAATAATGAGATAATTATTCACAGCATGTAAATGAAGTATGAATAATAGTTTTATCAACATTACTTTACAATTATCAACCTTATTTTATAGAAACAATTTTTGCTTACTGCCACAATATATTTTGATTGTTTATAATAACCTTTTTTTGCATAAATGTATCTAAAAGTTGTTTACCTGAAACTTTTTACTATGATTCTTTTGTATAAAATCTTCCTCCCTCAGTTCACTCTTAGTTCATTTACAACAACCAAACATTTCCACAATCTTGTCACATTTAGATAAATGTTTTCTTTGAAAATTCCAAAATATGTACACAACATTCAAAAACAAGATGTAATCTCCAAAATTTTGCAAGATCCTTTGTGGGTGGCATTCAATTAGCAGCTGACCCATATTTCTGAGATTTCAAATCGTTCAACAGTTTAACTGGACGGACAGGTCCATCATTATGTGAAACAGGGGTTATCCAAAAATATCAAAACAGTCCCACCATCTTATTTTTACATTTATTGAGTGTAAAAACATATCAAATGATAAGTAAATGTAGAATTTGAAAATCATAATAAGTTTTTGAAAGAGAATCAAAGTGTCAATTACCTTCTTAACTGATTGTTTTGAAATGTATACCGCTCAGACTACCTTAATAATCACATGGAACAGTCTGGTCAGTATACCAGAATGTCCCATCAGGAGATTAGTCATGCATCAGATAGAGGGAAACACAAGTGTTTATCATTAGTCTTATCTGATCTTAACCTTAGTGTCTGTAGTATTTATTTATCCTGACTTGTAAGAAATTATCAAGCACACAGTGGTTATTATATTTAACACATTAATTGTGCATGTATATAATGGACAATAATGATTATATATGTGTTTATTGTACAAATCATAAACTTAATGGCAATTATTGATATACTAGTATATGTGTTTATTGTGACATAATAAAATAAGTGGCAGAGTAAAGTGTAAATAATCTAGATGTATGTCTACAAATTTCCAAACAAACTTGCTAGTAGATTATGTACTATTTTATATGGCATTTAAAACATAAATTAAAATTTAAAATATCATTCTTAAATTATTTAACAATTAATTGCTTTAATGGTGAGTGAATATTGATATATATTTTTTACTGGCTTTATATACCTTAGACCAGATTTTTCAAGTTTGTTCAGTTAGCACATATACTATAGGTATTCTGCTAGAGGAATATTCTACCAATATGTGAAATTATTATTTTCTATGTGTTTGTATGTAAATTGCTCATAAAATAACCTTTGTTAAAATTAAAAGGTAGAATATTTAAGCTATACATATGGGTGCTCATTTTAAACACTTGCTATATATACAGTTAGTTTTATAGTAAAGTCTAATGAGGGACTGTATTTGTTACTGTAAGAGATATGCATTTAATGTTTAGAAACTCACACAACTTAATCTTTATTATATGATTTTTATTGAGATTTTTTTTTACTTTTATACTATACAATATCATGTACATTATAGTTTTCTTTCTACAAGATTATGAATTCCACCCAAACACCAATGTTAATAGGATGTTATATTTATTTTTAATGTTATATTTATTTTTAATGGAACCTGATAATTATTTATGTAATGTGCATACAAGTGTATCATAGTATATGGATATAGTGTGTATTTCTGTATTTAAAGACTCACAGTTATGATGGATGAGACATGCATTTAAATTTATAAATGATAATACATGATCAGTCTACAGGTTAAAGATTATTAAATTCAGTGTTAGCTGGCTAATAATAGTATCTATAACAGAGTTTATATATTATAGTTTTCTTTCTACTAGATTTTGAATTCCATCCATTAGTACCAATGTTAATGTTAGGATTTCATATTTATTTAATAGAAACTAGGAATTATTAATGTTAAGTGCATACATGTATATCTTAGTATATTGATATGATGAGATTTATAATATTTCTGAATTTAATAGTTACAGTTATGTCATTATTATTAAAGGGATGAGACTTTTATTTAAAGTTATAAATGATAATACATGTATTGATTGAAAATGTCCTGAATCTTGGATCCAGCAATATAATTGATAAAGTCTCAAAACAAATCATATTCTGAATAGTTACATTCTATTTTTTTTCTAACATGTGCATAGTTTGAAATGGACAGCTTCTGCCTTATCTATTTGTAATGGAGGGGCACCGGTCTCAATCTCCAGGTCTCCTGAGTCAACCCGACAACATACTTTTCATAGAGTAGATTGTTACTTGCCCTTGAATAAATTTGTACTCTAAATTTTATAGTGGGTGATTTAATGTGCCACATGAAAACCAACAAAGTACAAAAAGTAACCAGGCGCCAGATGAAAACATGAAAATACAATCTACCACGAAGTGGTTCGATGGTTGCATAATATTTTCATGTTTTCGCCCGGGGCCCTTAATGCAAAATACAAATCAGTCTTCATAAAATTTCTTATCATAGAAAAAAGATTAGTTTTTTTATCTGTACAAAAAATAGATATTGTACATGAATTAGCACAGTTGTGTTCACTTTCAAATTGACCTGTTATAAATAATGGCACAACCAATAACTGTCTAAGCCCTTTTTAGTAAAAATAATTATACAATGGTATATTAAATTGTTATCTTGATTTAGACTATATGAGTTAAAATGTAAGTTTTTTTTCTTATTTTTGAATTAAGAATTATTTATCTGTTAATTTAAAAAATCTAAATATCTGTCATGGTTTAGAACTGTTCACTATTTAGGGGAGAAAATGTGTAAGTGGCCAGATAGCTCAATCGCTACAGCCGCGGTACATAAATTATTCTGTGGGTCACAGGTTTGAGTTATGGTGAAGCTGAAAGTTTTTCTCATCCTGTGACTGCACATGAGTTTAATTCACTATGCTCTGTAAACATCAGAAATTCAAGGACATTAATCAATATAGTGAAGAAATATGTTGTGGTTTAGAACTGTTTCATTATTTAAGAGAAAATGTGTAGCCGGCCGGATAGCTCAGTTGGTCTTCTGAAAGTCATGTGTTCGAGTCATGGTCAGGCAGTTTTAGTCAGGGCTTAGAAGTGGTTTTGGGACTGGCACATGTTTTATTCATTTAATAAAGTGCATTTAATTTGAAATGGACAAAGGCAGTATTGCATGATACTGTTAGAGCTACAAAAGCATTTGATACAGTTGATCACACTATACTGCACATAAGGAAGTTCTTTTTCTTCTTCTTTATGGAACTTCAAGCATCTGCCATATGTAATGACATTCTTACATGGTTTAAGTTTTATCTCTGATAGCAGCTGGTTGATGTGGCTGGTACTCCTTCTACTTCTGCTCTGAGTACCTATGGTGTCCCCCTGATGTTCATTTTAGGTCCTCTTTTATGTCTAATATATGTCAATGACATGTCTGCAACCCTAAGTAATAAGCTTTATTATATGCACAGGTACAAGTATCAGACCTGGGAAGAAAAAATATGATTAGATTTTCTTCCCAGGTTCGATACTCGTGCATGTGATTATATGATGATGACTCAGGTATCCTTGTATCTGGTAAAATAAATCTTTAGATTGGTTAATTGACTATAAATTGTCTTTGCATCTTGACAAGACAGTGTATATTCTTTTTGGTTTAAGTTTCAACTTAAACTAGGCCTAGCCTCCAGGTCACATGAAATGGTACAACTATAAAGTACAAATCTTTTGTGAAGTATTTAGGTCAAATTCTTTTGGCGTCGCCCTTTGATGCTTTGCATCAATGCTTTTCTTGTTGTCTTTTTTGGATAATTTCATTTTCTTGCACAATAAAACATTTTTCCCTAACATGAGACTTGGTTTTTCCATATGGGTTTCACAGTAAGCATTTACCATACCAGGTTGTACAATAACTTAATTTGGTCCGAAAATCAGTCTTTTACACAAAGTCTTCTGAACTTCATTCAGAATTCATGTCTCATTATTGTGAGCAAAATTCTGAGTTTCCTTTAGCTATAAGCTGGAAAATGATTAATTATCCCCCGCCGAAAAGGCGGTTGGGGATATAAAATTAGTCTCCCTCCGTCCGCCTGTCCTTCCTTCAGTCTGTCCTTCCGTCCTCATTTTAGTCCGGACCATATCTTAAAAAGTATTTGAGGTATCAACATGAAACTTCATAGGTGGATAAATCATATTTAGGGGAAGTCACTGCTGCAGTGCACAACAATGATGATTCTACCCTACATAATTTTTCAGTTATTGCCCTTTGTTATTTTTCAAACTAAATTTTTGTCCAGAGCATAACTCAAAAAGCCTTTAAGATGGATAAATCTCACTCAGGATGTGTGCAGTGCAAAAAAGTGATAACTCTACCCCTTCATAGTTTTTGAGTAATTGCCCTTTGTAATTTTGCATACTTTATTTTTCACCTAAGTGGAGCATAACTAAAAAAAATCTTTGAGATGTCAACATGAACTTCATTGGTGGATTGATCTTATTGAGGAGGAATGTTGTGCGAAAGAATGATTACTGTACCCATTATAATTTTTTAGTTATTGACATTTGTTATTTTTCGTACTAAATTTTTCACCTGAGTGGAGCATATCTCAAAAAGTGTTAGAGGTAACACCTTGAAACTTCATAAGTGGATAGACCTCATTGAGGAGGAGTGCTGCACACAAGAGTGATAACCGAGCGTGCATTATTTTTCAGTTATTGCCCTTTGTTATTTTTCATGCTAAATTTTTGTCCAGAGTATAACTACAAATTAAAGCCTTTGGGATATCAACATGAAACTTCATATATAGATAGAGCTCACTCTGGAGGTGTTCAGTGCATAAGGGTGATAACTCTACCCTTCATAATTTTTGAGTTATTGCCCTTTTTATTTTTCATACTAAATTTTTCACCTGAGTGGAGCATATCTCTAAAAAGGCTTTTGAAATGTCAATATGAAACTTCATGGGTGGATATATCTTATTAAGGAGGAATGTTGTGTACAAGAATGTTAACTCTACCCTTTATAATTTTTGACTTATTGACATTTGTTATTTTTCAGACTTTTTGTCCGGAGCTTATCTCAAAAGTGTTAGAGGGAATAACTTGAAACTTCATAGATGGATAGATCTCATTGAGGAGGATTGCAGCACGCAAGAATGATAACCTACCTTGCATTATTTTTCAGTTATTGCCCTTTGTTATTTTTCATACTTAATTTTTGTCCCATAGTATAACTTCAAAGGCCTTTGAGATATAACATGAACCATCATAGGTGGATAGATCTTACTCAGGAGGTGATAACTCTACCCTTCATATTTTTTTTGAGTTATTGCCCTTTGTTATTTTTCATACTAAATTTTTCACCTGAGTGGAGC